GCACAAGTCTATGGGAAAGTCTCCCAAATGACCCATTCCCGGTAATTATTATTATTATTATTGTGATTATTATTCTGGTTTATTAAACATTGTGTTTGTAGCCACATGCTAAATTGTCACAATGCGTACACATTAAAAACACTTGAAAATCAGAAATACAAATTTACTAAAACATTTACCATCATACATACAAATATCAGAATACAGTACATGAAAAAAATGAGGTAAGACTTGCACATCGGAATATAAGAAAAGCGCACTCCTCTACCAGAATAGTACATGATAAAAAAATGGATTTTTGTTGTTGTAAGAATGCAGTACATGAATACATTTAGATTTTGTATTATTGTATTTTAATTTTTTCAATTTTTTGGATTATCAAATTCCAGTATGAATTGGAGTTAAGACTTGGAACTGTTGTTCAAAAAAAGAGGTCAACAAAATATGGGATGGGGCTATTCTGGTAACGTTTAGTCTTGCACATCATTTTGGATAAGTTGTCACTGTTTCTAAGCTGATATTGCACATGACTACTTCTTGGCTGAGGTAACCAGTCCTGAAATAAGTTAGAGTTTTTCAGTTTGTTAGCAAAGTCAAGACAGAGATCCATTCTACGGTTTTGAAGAGAAACTAAATTGCATTTCATTAGGGCATGCTCATAAACAACATAATCAAATCCCAGTATAATTTTGAGGGCACGTTTTTGATTAGTGTGTCCTTAACGGCTGATGTGAAAACTAATATATGTCTTACTTTTCGTGGTAAGAATATTTGCAGCTTATGGTGGAGTGCTGTGGTACCATAGGCTCGAATGGACAGATGTCTCTTGGTGTTAAGAAAATCGCCACTCCGGGGACTCTGATGATTTACCCTAAAAGGGTATCCCCCCCCCCCCCCCCCCCCCCCCCCCGCAAACCCTCCTGTGTTGAGCCATATCGTCATGCAGCCGGCATTTTGGTTATAATCATAAAGACATTTGTTCAGAATAATAAGTGAAAATCACAGCAGATGCCTACTTTCAGCATAAGAGCCCTCATGCGTGCATCGACATTCTTATATCAACCCTTTTTTCATTAATTTCATCACACAGCATGCGTTCCGTTGTTCAATCCGTGTACCCATCCTTGTCTCAGTCTATAATCGATAACATGCCGAAGTACGAACGCGTGAAACCTACAAATGGATTCTGGGTATACATGTACATACCCGCGTCATGGTAACTCGACGCCGCGCCCATTTCGTTTCTAGCTATACCAAGATTCAATTTTCTTCGATTGCGAGTCGGCTTTTTTAACCTCGCTCCGCTCTATAACAGCGGACTCAATAGACAACCACTGCTCCAGGCTCCGTGTGCATGTTGCTCGAGGAGGCTGATATGGTCGTTGCGATTTTTGGTGGGTATTTTAGGGGAGTTGTTTGGGGTTAGATTTAAACAGGCATCGGGAAGAGATAGCTAATATCGTTTAACGTATAAAAGCATACCATGTTAGCTCTATTCAAACACAGGAAATTAATGGTGATAGTTTACCCTTCCCTCAACACCCAGATGGGTATAAAAGGCCGATCGATCAGGTATAGAGCCTGAAAGTTGACCCTTGTTGGCGCGCTTCCGGACCCCTCGAATAGGAAAATTGGCGTTAGAGTTTTTGTAATTAGTTTTGGCAACAATGATTTCTTAAGGAAATTACCCTCGGAAAAGGCCTTTGTAATGTTGTTATTAACATCTCGATTTATGGAAACTAAAAAATCGCATGACGTGAAAGAGAAATATCGTGCCACAAATTGACTCTCACTTCCGAAAATCTAAATACATGTAGAGTGGAACTTGGAGCACTCGTACACTGAAATGAAATGTTATGAAATAATTTTGTGGCGGTCATAAGGTAAAAAGTGAAACTTAAATAGGAGTTTAAAATGTATTTTGGGACACACAACTTTGTTTAAATTAACTTGAAGGACTCATTCTCATTTACAAACAAATCTAAAATGACCGTTGATAAGAACTGTATTCAAGCAAGCCCGACTAAATCTAGAGTCCATCGGATGTAGGTAGGTAAATCTTCGCGTCGTTATCACTTTCGTTCTCACGAATATAACTTCGAACAAGGAGACCTAGGTACGAACATCCGGATGTAAAGGCGTAACTAAAAGTAGTGTTTTTTTTCTTGTGGAATGCCAATGATAAAATTCCAGCATGAATGTTTCTTGGGATGATTTCTCTCTAAATCCCAAGGAGTGAAATTAGGGACTAGTCGTTTTAGAGTGAAAATCACTCTCATTTTTGATTGAAATAGTCTGAAAAAAAGAACCATTTCAGTCGAAGCTTGAGTGAAAACTCGATCTTTACGATTAAAGGAATTTCACTCTTAAACGAAACGTCTAGTCCCTAGTTTCCGACTGTGGGAGTGAATCTTCACTCGAATGGAGTGAATTTACACTCTTCGGAATTTAGAGAGTACAGTTAGAAATTATTCTGTCCAAATATATAGTTCTATTCCTTTCCTGTTTGGTAAAAGTGCTTTTTTTTAACTGAACATCTCGATCTGAAATTATCCTCTCCAAAATGTACATTCCTTTGCCAAACAATCATGTGAGGCTTTAACCCTAAACACCCCCAACTCCATCAAAATCCGTCCCCCCATTTTGGTGGATTTGGGAGACTTGGTCCAGTAGGCCTGGTGTGACTAAATATTGATGGAGTATGATGGACTTGGGCCTGAAGGCCTGAATGGCTTATGATTTGACAATCTTACACGATCGAACACTGTATTGTGTGCAATATTAAGGAAGGACAACACAGGGAATAGTAAACATCCGCTCGATCCCCGCACGAACAAGTGAAAAGACTTGTTCATTTACTTAATTACGCCATTCAAGTTTGTTTTAATTTTGTTCCTCAATCACCGGACGAGAATATTTGATGTCCACGCTTCCTGTTTGATCACGGGAGACACTATTAGCATAACGCCAAAATCTTTTAAAATATCGATTGTTGCTCATTAATAATGAAGACGCGCTCTAGAGAAAAGCGAACACATTATGTAAATCTTTTTACTTATAGGGCTACACTAGCATAACCTTTTTTCAACATACTTTTGGATTTGTCTCCTTGTGTTTTTGATTACCGATGCCTACTACTTTATTAAGTTTTTCGGATAATTCATCTAATTTTCTGGTAAAATTTAAAGCACAATTACAGAACGTTATTTAATTTTCATTTGTGGCCAGATCCTGCGAAATGATCGTTAAGGGCTTTGTTCACACTAAGGTTTTCATCATAAGTAGGACGGACGTTTTGGCTATGTACTTAAATATACCACTCAGTCTGAAATATTGTCAGCAGAATGTTCTATGGGTGGAATTGTCACTGTTTCTATTGTGCAATAGTTGGGGTAAACAGTCAGAGGATGGAATGGGTCTGCGAATTATTAAGCCCTCCGTTACGGCCGATATTACGACTATAGGCGTAATAAATTGTCTCCGCTGGAATCTGAAATCAGCCCCCTTGGGCAATTTATCTCCTTCCCCGGGATGCGAGTCAGCGAGCTGGATCGGGTAGCCGTTCGTCTGAGATAGAACATACACGCACACGACTATTGATAAATCTTAAAACATATATTGCCTGAACTTTGATCATTCTGGTTTGTGTGTGTGTCTCTTGCAGCATGAAGACGGCTGCAAGTGAAATCGTTGACTGTAATTTTAACCAGACCAAATCATTCTAATAACTTTCAAAAATCTGCAAAGGGGCCACTTTTAATGAAGGATTCGTTGCTGTTATTTGTTAATCCGTTGACGCGAGTATCGAGTTCAGACACGCTTAGGATGAATGTCTCATCTGTTTTATAGTTCAAAATTTATTGGAAGTTCATAACAGTCAAATCACACTTTCATGTAAATGTCGGTTTAGGCATATCGCCCTATAGCGGTATTCCTGTAATTCCAGTTTGTAGCAGTAGCTGAAGTGAGAGGTTTACATCTTCGCTCGTCCATCTAATTGCACTGGTTACCTCTCGTGATTTTATTTGAGCTCACACTGGATACATTTTGCATGGCCAGTGACCTTAGGTCAGTACTTCCGTGTGTTTATTGCATGCGCACAAAATTGACAAGTGAGCTATCCACAATCCTCGACGACGCCTGCGTAGTTCCTTCACAATGTTTTTTTTTGTGAAGGAAATATTTCGGTCACCGCAGCAGCACAATTGGGTATGGGCGGCGCAAAACAAACGAAGACCCACAGCCTCCCCCCCCCCCGTATTTATTAAGACCTTTCAATGAAATGTCCTTGAACTACTATACTACACGGCGATAGGATTTTTAACAAGAGTTTATGATGAAAACTCGTGATAGGAAACGTGCATGTCTTGGGTTATATTATGAATACTTCTTATTTTACCTGTACATATAGTACGGACGTGCAATAGTTTAATCTTTGATGATGCCAACATTTCCCAATTTTCGTGGATCCCTAGTAGGCCTACATGGTTTGTTGCGTATATAGTTGCATGTAAACATCTTGCACTGCTAAAAAATAGTAATCACACTACAGATGACCCCGACACGTTGATTAAATCAACGTTCAGGGTAATCTATAGCGTCATAACTATTTGTTTATGTTCATATATCGATTTGAATTTAGTCATAGAGCAAGGATGCTCTATGGTCATGTATCACTTTCTTTTGTTTTTAAAGATGTAGGTCTAGTAAAAGGTTTCTGCCGCAAGTGTTGTCTATAGTTTGCAGCATTGCTAACTTTAGTAGCAATGTCATTGCAGTGTGACCCAGCAACATTACAGAACATATAGGTTAAATGCTTGATAATAGGCCTAAAGCATATACGAACACATGAACAAAGACAGTTTGGCCTCGTAGAGCGCTGGTATGCCGGGCATTGCGTTTACGCTAGTGCGCTCTGTTTCAAATCCCGCTCCAAACCATTTCTTTGCTTGCAATGATTATTGTCATGTTCTTTAGAGCTATAAAAACATTACAATTACCTATGGTCTCGTAGCTGATGCGAACACAGTGCTGCACAGGACGGCGACATATGGACTGGTACTCCTGCAGGCAAAATATAAATCCTCGGTAAGTTCTGGAGAGATCTCGGATGAATAGCCTACAATAATTGCCTTGTACTTCTCCTATACGGCGACCCAAGATAATGGCATCTCCTACAGTCCAGGAAGAAGGAACAAGCACTTCCACACGATTATAGCATAAAATGATCCTTTAATATCCGTATAATATTTTCACTGGCTCCGGGGCTCTACTGCTTCTCACGACTCGGGAGACCTTAAGGACTATTCCCTTCGTCTTGTTTTCATTTCTCGGTCCAATTTAGTCGGAGGTTCACGGTGCGGGTGGTACCATAAGCAGCGTCATTATAGGACGACCACTTCAAGTGGTCACTGCCTCGAGGTCCGTAAACATAGATGCTGAAACTTGTCATCAGAGTGACCTGTAGAGGAGTTATCCTGATCTATGAAATTGGTCCAATACAAAAAATCGTCACGGGGTTGTAACTTAATTAGCAGAGCTTGTAGGAATGATGATCTCTTTAGCAATTCTGGGGGTCAGTCGCTTCGAATGGTAACTGTCACGCAGTTCTCTGAATCATGGCAATGCTATGCATTGCTGAGTGCAGCTGACGATGCTGAGATTATTTTCACCCTCTCCGTAGAAGCTACAAATCCTTGGCCAGGCGTGTTTGAGGGACGCAACACGGCCTCCGCAATGTCTTGCTCTGGTTGCTGGACGAGATACCGTCAAGCTCTGATCGTGACTAGACTCGCAACTGGCTCCGTACGCGAGTGGAACGAACTAGTCGTATAATGCAGGTTGCCTCAGGGTGGCCGAAGCGCGCGCATTATAAGCTAGAAAGCGCACTCGTCGAAATAATGATGCTCACGCAGTGTGTCGGCCTAACAGTCGCTATTTGGCAGGTTGTGTGCAGTGTACACTTCGCCATAGTTGCAGCTGATGCAGCATTGATGCGAAAGATATGAATAATTATTTCACAGTGAACGTTTGTGTTTTTAATGCATCATTATCGCTAGTGGCATCTTCCGTTTGTTAGCAGCATCGTGTGCACGAAAAGATTACGCCGATAAAATACCCCGTAATGAAAGGGTAAGATCATTAATTCAAAATTTAAATTGAATAATAAAGTAGCTAATGAACACTTTTCCTGTATCAGAGCATGATCAATAATGATATCTATAGAGTTTGTTTTATAAATATATATCCACGTTGAAAATTGAAATGATGAAATAAAAACCATATCTTTACATCAGTATAATCTTGACCGGCGCGCGAAACTACAAATCCTATATCTGCGCAATTTAAATGATGTTTTCGTTTGGCTATTCCTCGGTTTTGATGTAAAGGTCGTTCTGTTAGCTTATAACAAAACCCCTTTCGCTTGTTTGACACCAACTTTTTGACATTTCCAAGATAACATGTTCTAGGCCTACATGACAAGAATAACAACATGGTCATCAGTATTTGAAGACAGGGTTAGGCTATAGTGATAAAAACATTCCACGGATAATGTGCATATTAAAATGGTCAGGGACAGAGCAAAATATACTGCACAACGCCACTTGGTGCACTGCCGCCTTTTTATTCATAAAGTGTTTAGGAAATTTTTTTTTCAGTGCAACTTTTTGTTCATTATTTTCAATGTCTGTGCTGTTCCTCAAACCTGAGGGCGGTGTTTCAGTGATGTTATATTAGGCAATCACTTTTTTAAATACAAATTACAAATGTAACACGTACTTCTTAACACTAATAAAGCTTTGCTTAACATTGCATCACTTTTTTGCTCATGAATTATGGAAATTTGCATAATCAAAACGAAAACGGGACACAAAGACTGATATCTACGCTCATGAAACTCATCAGGGAGCCTTCAATTGATGATACACCCCCAGGGACCATATAAATAGGCTATCATTGCCCCTTGGATTGTAGGTTAATCCGGCCTGGATTTTGGGGATCGTCTTCTCCAAACAGGTCTGCAATGTTTCCCCTTCTATCCATGGCTGGGACGAACAGGTTGCCTCTGATTGGAAAACAACATCCAGGTCACCGTCATAAATAAAATATTGTTGATGCATCATCATGTACCGTGGTCACTATAACTGCATTGTCCACTATATATTTGCATAACGATGTAAGATCCATTCGTATTTAACTATAACAAAGTAAATTTTATTCCATTTTAAGCGATGCCGAAGATTGATACTTTTCCTCAGCCCTTGAAATGCAGGTTGGCAAGCATTTTTTAACAAGAGTTTATAAATGAAAACTCGTGTATTTTGAGCATGGTTGGCGATTTTCTATTTACTTTGTTTTTTATTTAAAAAAAATAAGATAGGATTTACTTGATTAAAATCAGATTCTTTTTTATTTAATTCATCTTTTTTTTTTTTTTACTTTCAAAATGTGAACATGTTTAAGAATGTGTCGAAATCTCCCCATGCACCCTTACACCCATCACTAAGGAGTTTACAGGTTCCTATAATACCCATCATCCACAAAACTCAATAAATTGATAGGCCTAAATGCTTTTGATTGTTTTTATTGAATCAGTGATTAAAGAAAAATCACTTGACTTCATCTACATACATCATTGGTTCAATGACATTAATACTGAAATCACTTTAAAGGTCATGGCTTGATTGATACAGCTGAGATACGTTGTGTGTAGATTAGAATGAAAAACGTGATTTATGGTATATGTACATAGTATACAAAACCGGCAGCACTGATCCTTGTGTAACTTATAGAGGTTGATTGATGGTCCTTCATCATACAAGGTGGCGAACAGAAATCAGGCCTAGCACCTTAAAAAGGAATTATATAAATCTCAATCTAAATTTTGTATGGAGAAACGTTAGTAATATAACACTATCAATTGAGACGTTAATACACCTTTAGTTGGTGCAAGTAAGCCTACACCAGCACAGATGATTCACAATATTACTGTAAACAGATCAAGGAATGATTAAAGGATTCAAAGTGATTTAAATTAATGATTAAAAAAAATCATTTGATTTAAATTGCGCCCATCGATCAATGATTTAAAACAACCTGATTTAAATCAGCCAAACCTGATATTAAGTGTTTTTATAACTGTGACTCGTGTCACTATATTTGACACAAGAAAACTGTGAATCGTGTCTGTTGAAGTGAACAATTCGCGTAATTATGAAAACAAATGATCAGTTGGCTTTACTGTAGTGTTTTGTTGGAACCTGTGATTTTGTATAGCAGTTTTATATACAAAGTATGATAACAAAAAAATCGGTACAATCTTATAGTTAATGTGCATTGTATCTATTTCTACGCAATCCTATTTAAAGGGGCAATTTCAACAGGGATGCGCCATTTTCAACGATTCTTTTGAATTGATATATAATTGGAAAGATTATAGTACTAGAGTTTAAATGTTTACACAATAGAATTATAACTTGAACATTTACGGTTTTCTGTGTAATTATCACACGATTGAATTTCGGGTAGAATTCTCTTTCCTCAAATAGAACCGTATAGGAGCATTAGTTCCAGTCATCATGGTTCTTTTCAAAATGATGCTTCAAACGCGTGTGATAGTATCACCATGTGTTCCAGCCTGAAGTTAGCACGGACCTGATATTACACAGTGAATTGTCACGTGACATTCATTTTCGATGGCTTTATTAACGGCTGGAAATACGTACATGCAAGGGGGGAAATCGCTGCACGTCAGACGAATATAAACAAATGTCATTTGTTTTAATTAACAGTAAATGTAATACATTTTGTGGATTTTCTGTGACTCGGACCTTTGAAATAGGCTCTATAGCTTAAGTTTGGCGACCTCCGGACGAAAATGGGAAATATTCTGATGAGTACCATTGTATAACCGTGATGCCTGGTATAGTTGAATAGTTCACATGAAACGGCCGTCAATTATAACGGACACCTTGCATGACAGTCCCGCCGTTTGCATGCCTTTTTCTCGGTTCATTCACTGCAGATTTGGTTATTCCGTGACGTCATTAACCTTTCGGTATAATACCATTATGGTTGCTGTTTTCCCAATGTAGAGAGTCACCTGTATCAGATTCCATACGTTTTAGGCTCTTTGTTGGAAACTTGCTAGAATCTTGCCATGACTTTCGTATGCATTCTGTAAGAGGTGGATGATCCCTGTTGTAGACTTTAAGACCAAGACGTATAATTATTATCACCATTTACAACAGTACAATTTGGTTAAAACGAAAAAAAAGTACACAACTTGGTTAAAACGAACAAAATAACAGTGACAAGTGTTCATACGAAACCATAGTGATGTATTGGTGCATGCATATCCGTCTGTGTAGGCTTACATCTTTACAATCGATGGGCAGCAATACATCACTTATTCACTGCATGGAAGATACTGTTATCTCTCAGCCAGTCGATCATCGTATTGACACTCCTGCTTTGCATTACTTTCTTCTCGTCAACCACACGATTTAAACATTTCGTTTGGACGGTTTCTTCTGAAAAATGCCAGTGCGTATATTCACATGTATACATAAAAAAAATCCATTTTTATCCACGATTAGGAAGAACATTTAGATATGAATTATTCAGTTTCCATGCTCAACACGGTGCTATGCAGCATCCCTACATTTGTTCTAGATATGAATTATGGTATATCTCAAAGATGTACTGTTCCCGTCGAAATTTACGCCAAAAGATTTTTTTCTTTTAAATTGCTATTTTGCTAACAGTACAAAAGTTATTCACTTTTGAATAATCGCATTTTGATGACGTCACAAGTTTCGCCAGTATGTGCAAATTTGAAAGACATACCAAATATTTTGCAAAAATGATTTTGAAGTTAGCATTCAAAAACCGGGTCGGAGTTGGCTATAAGAAAACCTTTCTTTGCAGGGTACAATTACATTACGTTGCATGCCTAATAACTTAACAGACATTACATTTTTGGCGCTAAAATTTGGTGCTAAGATTCGAAGAAAATCTATCAATAGCAATTTACACAATACAGTTTTAATATCAAGCAAATCTCGTTTGTTCTCAGCCCAGTTCTGTGCAATTCGCCCCCATGTCAGTCATGTACAATCTCTTACTCTTAGTCCTAAAGTACCAACAATATCGGATTGTACCTATATACCTTTCAGAGTATCCATCAACATCAATGCGTTTCTTGTCGTCTTTTAATACTCCTG